ACCAGAGAGGACAGAGAAACAAGGAGACACAGAGCAGCTCTTTATCCTCTCTGCTGGACAAAGAACATTCCAGATAGACAACGCAACAAGAAGTCAAAACTTCCAGTTCTCCCTTCCAAATTTGTGCACATCTTTTGATGTGTTTTTATCCAAATTACTATAGCTAATCTGACAATATTTCCATATTGGTAGTCAATGGCCTTTTGGTTTAATTGGCCTTCATTTGGGACCACTGCTGTTCAGACCTCAGGGACACTGGGAAGGTTTCTTTTGTTCCTCTTTAAACAGAGGATACAGCGTTCCTTCAGCCTGACGCTGCCTGAGCCTGGAGTCATTGATTAGATCACGTGGCCTCCCTTCGTCTCAGCTCGCTTGATTCTTCAGACCTGGAGACTAGTGATTATTTCAAAGATTTTCTGCCCCAAAAGCTTTACTGAACAGGACAGCTGTAAGAGAGAGACAGATATGTGGTGAGTGCCTCACACCACAGTCCTCCCCCCTCAGAGCGCCCCCTGGCTGTGGCTCTGATTTGCCACCTGCTGGTGCTGTGTCCCTATGTGCTGTCCACTGTTATCATGGTCTCTCTCTGCAGACACATGCAAACAGGTGAGGGGCCTTGTCTGTGAAAAACTCCACTACTGCTGCAGCCAGTTTAGTAATAAAAATGTACATACATGTATCTATATAGATTTTATATTTTACAGTGAAAAATATTCCTTCACATTATTGATTCACTCCACTCTCGGTGGTGCTACCTGTTTGTCTCCATGGATGGAGATGTTTTGTGTGGAAATGTTCATCATTGTGGCATTAAAATGATTTTGTATTTATTCAAATGAATGCAGGTATTTTTATTCTTAGAGCCACATTTGCTACATGTGTCTCTTCTTGGTTTGTCACCAAAGTGATTTTTGATTTATTTACAAATACAGTGTGCAGTGGTCTGATTTTTGACACAAACTGCTGCTTTTATAATATTCTTTAAGGAGAATAGGTTAAATGTACAAATTTACAACAAAAAAACTATTACTTTTATTTGTTTGATTTATTGATTGGGGACGAGTATGTACTTTAAACAGTACAGTATTATAGCAGCCTTGAGTATTCCATTAGTATTTCACCATCTCATAATTGTAAAGTTACTCTTTTTGGTCTCTGCAGAGGAGGCCCCTCCCCCTGTGACGCGGGATTATGACATCACAGCGATTGCCACTGAGCATGACTTTTGATGCAGCAGCCTCCTGTGCACCTCTGATTCTTTGTTTATTTTATGTTGGGCACAAAGCAGAATGACCTGTTGATCTGGTTTTGGTTTGTGAGTTGGAGGCGATGCTCCTTCTGTTTGCTCTGCACAGAGTCACTATAAAATCATTTGAATATTGTCAAACACAGCGGTCCTTTCCCCAGTCCTGGTCCTGGTCCTGGTCCTGGTTTAGTTTTGGTCTTTTCAATACTCGTTATCCTGCTTCTTCTGAGCATGTTTGAAGTCCTAATCTGTCATTTAAATTCAGCATTCAGATGATCTAATTGTTAAAGTGCACTGTGTAACATTTCTGAGACTGTCAGCCATCTGTTTGTCCCTATGGAGATATTATTGCTTTGCCTGGAATGTTCCACAGTGTGGCATAATCACCATGTAAGCAAGTAGAGTATGGCACAAGGCCCAGTACAGTTAGATCTGTGGAGAAATCAAAATGACCACAGTGACAAAAGATATAATTTTAATGCCATACTCTCGAACATTTCATATTTCATCATTTACTTGGAGACAATCAGATGATGCGCCAACACACCACAAAAGTTACATGAGGTTTCTTTAAGTTCATAACGGGGTCATATAATTCCAGCTATGTGTGTGCCTTTTTCACTGTAATGACATTTTGGCAGATTTGAACCTGCCCCAGTTTCACTGTTGGCCTCAGTCCAAACTCATGCCTCATTCTTAAGACCAGGTCTTAGTATACAAGCACATTTCACAACTTTCATGGACCAAGTGAGAGTAAGCATTCCAATCTGACTTCCTGTTTGTGAATGAAATAAAAACAGTTTTAAATTTGATGCAGCCAGCACACAGCTGTCAGATACTGTCACTAGGAATTATCACAACAAATGTATGAGGACGCGAATTTAACTACCAGAACAAAGATTGGATAGAACCTCTTTAGGTTCTGATTTAGTCCTGGTTTAGTTCTGATTTATTACTGGTTTGTTCTTGGTTTAGTCCTGGTTTTAGTCCTGGTTTAATTCCTGTCTTTACCATGAGCTGGTAAAGTCCAATACGAAAACACGAGCCAAAACATGCACGCTGTAGCCATGTTCAAACTACAGCCGTGTTCAAACTACAGCTGTGTTCAAACTAAAGCCGGCTACAGGAAGAATATCCTCAGACAATACCCTCACAATTCCAACCAATCACAGCCAAGAGGGGCGGGGCTTTTACATTTGCTCTGTGTCTGATTCCTTCCTCTGTGCTTGAGCAAAAAATATCTTGCCCCAGTACAGACATATATGTACTGGGACAAATATGCAGAGTATGAGGTCAAAATAAGTCTGTTGTGTTCTGTCTGCATCTAATTACAAAGCATTTTATTGACCGATAATCAGGAAGTGCGCGTTTGGAGACTAGGTGTTTTGCCATCTTTACAGCAGCTCTCTGCTCTGGTTTCTGAAAGTTGTGAAAAGTGCTTTTAAATTCATTGTGGTGAGTAATTAGTATGCTCAGAATGCAAGTAAATGCTCATTTTTAAAACAGCTTAAAACAGTATAAATCAGGTACAACACCTTCATGTTAAAACTGCACTGTGTAACTTTTCTGGTGGAAGGTATCTGCTTCTCTCCATGAAGGTGCCGCCTGGAATGTTCCACGGTATGGCATTACATTTGTTTATCTATATCACAGGTGTCAAACATACGGCCCGGGGGCCAGATGCAGCCCTCCAAGACCTTTAATCTGGCCCCCATCTGATTTTCTACTAAAATATTTTTATTATATTTTCTATTAAAATATTGTTAATTTTCTGTGGTGTTTATCATATCAGCGTCTCCAGTGTCTCTGTACGTGGCCCCTCCCACCAGAGCAGCACAAATGAAGATTGTCTCTTTGCAAACGCTCTTAAAGGACGATCGTTTTGACTGTTGACCGTGACACCCTCATCAGCAAAATGTCCAACATGAAAAAAGTGGAGCCGAGTGCAGGATTTTACAACAAAAATTTACTCATTTCTATTTCCATACAAGTTCATGTTAAAACATTGTGTTGAAATTGTATTTTTCTTAAAGTTTCAGTTTGTTCATAATATTATAATATTTTGTAAAAGAAAGAGTTCATCAATTAAAAAAGATTTCTGTAATAGATTTGTGTTTCTCTGCACAAATATTTAAACTTATTGTTATTTTTGGGGTTTATATGACATGAGTTCTGATCCGGCCTCTTTTGGATTAAAGTAGGTTGGATACGGCCCCCAGACCAAAATGAGTTTGACACCCCTGATCTATATGAAGACAGCAGGTGGTATCATAAGGGCCAAGTTACATGTCAGGTCTGTGGAGAGGCGAGCCCATTCACAGTAAGAATGCAAGTTTTTAGGTCAATAACAGCTCATGTTATTGAGTAAATGTGCGATGGATAAGTTTAATGCCACAGCAGGACATCCAGGACAAAAGAATAACACATCTATGGAGACCAGCAGATGGTGGACTCTCCTCCATAAAAGTTACACAGTGCACCTTTAATACATCTTTAATATGTCCATTTTTAAACCTTTATTTAGATTCTAATACTGAAAATGTGCACTTTTGGTCATTTTTACATATCTAGATAACACCAAGATCATATTTTATACAGTGATGTACGCAGAAAAATCATTGTATTTATTTTCACCTGCAATGTTTCAAAATGCTACAGTTTATTTTCTTTGTGGTTTAAATAAATAAATAATAATGATAATAAAATACATTGTGAAATATTTCATACAAAGTTAGTTCACTGTAACACAAATTCAGTCCAGTTACTAAACTGAACTTGTG